TAGTTGATTTTTGCTTGTTATTTTTGTTGCAATACTTGTTGGTTGTTATTTTCTTGTTATTTTTGTTACAATACTTGTTGGTTAAACAATCATTTTTATTACCATTGAATAATCGAAATAGTTGATTTTTACTTTTTTTCGCTTTTGTTTTATGTTTTCACGTTTTAGTGTGGCTGTTCACATTGGCATGAGTATAGTTCTTTAAGGGTAGTTTTGTGTTAATTGTAAACTGTGAATATTCACAATGTATTTTGATATAAGTTTTATTTTTTTAAAGGTTAATTATATGTTTGTTGCTTATTGTGAACATTCACATTATACTTTGGTTCAAAGGGTATATTAGTAGTCATACTAACATAAACAACGTGTTATTTTGGTCACACAGAAATGTTAATGTTCACATTAATTCTATAACACAAATAGGTAGTCGCACTATTAATGTTCACACACTCATGTAAAATAGTGTGTGTATGGTTCCATGAAGAGAGATTATTTATCATCATACATTTGTAATGTAAAAGTTCACATGAACATGCAGTGAGAGATTTTCAAAAGATAGACGATTTAGAATTTTGACAATGTGAGAAATTTTTTCTATAGAATAAGGAAGAGATTTTTTTCCCCCCAAATGATGAAGAAATTTTCTACTAGAATGAAGAAATTCTCCCGTGAATGAGGAGATATTTTTCATTAAATAAGAGAGAAATTTTCTCTATGGAATAAAGAATTTTTTTTTATCATATATTAATTTTAAAATAAAAACAAGCACATAAAGTTGGAAAGGTAATTTGATCATATTATACCAAATAGAACCTAATGGATCAAAAAGAATGACTTAGATGAAACATAAGTCTTAAGATGGAATTTACTAAAAAAGCTCCCAAAAAAATCATACAAAATTTATATATATAATGGACAAGGCTCAATACACTCCTTTTTTTTTTTTTTATTGATGGGGGGGAGGGTAAGGTATCTTGGGCCAACTTACGCGCACCAGACTAAGTCCCTATAGCCCAAACAAGCCTTCCAAAACAGGGCTTACGCCCTGCGGTCTATAGCCCCAAAGTATGTGTTTGCTGGCTAGGAAATTCGAACCTGAGACCTAGAAAGGAGCAAATCTTCAGACCACAGTTGTCACCCACTAAACCAACCACCCTGTGATTAATATTTCCATGTTAAGCTTGTGTAATTTTTTTCAATGAATTTTTCAATAAAGAAGAGTCATTTTGCAAGGAAAAGCTTTCTTTGTCTTACAGGTGAAATGGAATGTAATGACGGTCTAATGCCATCTAGCCAAACAGAAGGATTAGTATAGAAATTACTCGAAAAAAAATGGAATGTAATGATGGCCTAATGCCATCTAGCCAAACAGAAGGAGAAGTATAGAAATTACAAAAGAACATCCAAAACTGATAAATAAGGAGAACCCTGATTCCAACCTACACAAAATTAAAGGGCAAGGAAGTAATTACATGAGAAACTACCAAAAGATCCTCACTGAAATGTGTTGGAAGCTAAAAAGTAAAAAAGCATTTTCGAGAGGAAAAAAAATAAAAATAAAACGAGACAAAATTGGAATTGATGAACAGTAAAAAAAAGTGTTAAAATGGACCAACATATTATATAGTAGATAGATATATCCAAAGAAGAAGATCAGATATATAGTAAATAGATATTTTCCTATCAATGTCTGCTTTTAAAATAATTAACGAGGAAGCAACAGGATCTCTTTACCACAAATCCAAAAAAGTCTTATAGAGCTGAGAAAATATCCTACTGATCACCACTAAAAATGAAAGACAAAAATATACAGCAATGTAGTATTATCAAATTTCATCAGTTACCCCATCCTAAGCAACTAAGTCCAATTGCCTTGGTAATAAAAACTTTTCCATGTGAATGCATGATTCAAATTTGAAGTGAACTGCTTCAATGCATTCAAAAATCACTTCTGTAAATTCCTGCAAATCAAATAGTTGTTTTAGAAAAATTATAAAAACACATCCATAACTCTATAGACTCAGACTATAAAGTTACCTTTTACAAGTGCAGGAAATGTGGCGTGTATAATTGAAACAGCACAAATAAATCATTCTCCGTTTGTCTCAATGGTCTAACCTCTTCCTTCTCTCTCCTTCTGTGACGCCAAATTTATTTTCCACGCCATCCCAAAATAATAATAATAATAATAATAATAATAATAATAATAATAATAATAATAATATCTCATCAGGTAAAAATACTTCAACCTCAAACCAAAAGAAGTAAATTGAATTTTGTCATTTTCCTTAAAATGCTTCAAATATATGAACCACTCAGTATAAACGAAAACATACCACATGCTGATGCACATGAATGAAGCACATCCTCATAAACGATAAGATTACTCCACCACTATGAACAGCCTCGAGTTGCCATTTGTCGAAAGCTCTCTTGTATAATGGATGCATGCATACTAAAGAAGCCCAATCGACATTCTCTTCAGGTAAGTTTCTGAGAGCATTCCAAAAGGGGTCAACGACAACTTTTGGAGAACAGCCAATCTCCATCTGAAATAGGAAAATATTCTTTATCATTTTGAATGGTGTCCAGAGGCATGAATGGTGAAACATGATGTCCTCTTTGTAACTAAAAATAAAAATAATAAAACTAATAATTAGTATCAAATTCAAAAATGCTTTTAACTTTTAAATATTTTCAAAAGTTGATGTAAATAAAAATTCCTTTGGTAGTTACCAAGTAATTCCAAGAGATGAGCAACATCTTTGGGGATTTCATTGCCTATCAGAATTTCAATTGTAGTCTTTAAATCTGCACCATCCTTTCTCATAACTTTCTGATGATGGCTATATTGATTTCCCATCAATGTCACGTTATATTTTTCATCCAAGATAATAGCGTCACTTTTTAGATTGCAGTGAGCTATTCCCTTGCGATGAAAATGCATTACATTCTTCATCATGCCCTTACGTAAAAGCAATTAATATCAAACTGTTATTGATAGGCTCTCAACATGAAAAAGGAGATTTCTGTCCTTTGCGGGTGGATTGGTTCTCATTAAATTGGTTTAGTCAAGTTTACCTATTTATTGTCTATCCATTTTCAAGATTCCTGAATGTGTTGCTAATGAATTAGACAAAATTCAATTAGCTTTCTTATGGGAAGGATCTGACTTGAAGTGAAAAGTTAATATGGTTAAATGCAGGGAAGTCACTAGAAGTAAAAAACCATGGTGGGTTGGGCATTAGGAGACCTGGGGAGGTGAATTTTTGCCTTCTAGCAAAATGGTGGTGGAGATTTGGGGTTGATGATGGAAGAAACTCCTATGTTCAAAACATGGACTGTTGGGGCAAGATGGCCACCCTATTTTGAAATCAACAACAGACTCTCAAGAGTATGTCAGGATATTCTTTCTATTGCTTTACACTACAAGAATTTACACATTTGCCGAACACTTTTGCCGACCAAAAAAATTTTGATCGTAAAAAAATGACATTTGCCGACCAAAATATTAATTAGTCACGAATGATCGTTATTTTTGGCGACCAAAATGAGTTGGTCGCAGAAGGTCACATTTTGGCGATCAAAAATGAGTTAGTCGTAGAAATTGGTATACTTTTGGCAACCAACTTTAAATTTGGTCGCGGAAGGATACATTTTGGCAACCAAAAAAAATTAGACCCCAAAATTGTATTTTTAGCGACTAATATTTTAGTCGCCATTGATTGAGATTTGGTGACTAAAAAAGTTTGTCGGCGAAGATACCTTTTCTGCGACTAATCTGGTCATTTGGTCGCGAAAAGTTTGGGAGGGAAATTTGAAACATGAAGGGGCGAAATGAAAATTTTTTGCGACAAAAAAAAATTTGGTCGCCATTTATAAAATGACGTCGTTTTGTACCCACTCTCCCTAAAAATTTGGTCGCCATTTCTAAGTGTTGCCATTTATAAACCCTAAACCGCTGCCCCCTTCCAACTCTCTCTCTCTTTCTCTCTCTCTCTCTCTCTGTCTCTAATGGAGAATGGGGACAAGTGGTTGGTCCCCGAATAAGCTACAACACATTCTCTTCTGCTTCTCCATCACCATTATTTTCTCTCTCCTCGCTTCCCTAACTCGCTATTCCTTCCTCCGCTGCCGGACCATCTGGTTCGGATCCATTGTCTCCCTCTCCGCCGGCGCCGCCAAAGAGGTCGCCGACGAGCTTGGCTTCTTCAAGTCGGCCGGAGCCTCCGCCAGAGACGCTGTTGCTGATCTCCTCAGCATTCTTCTCGCTGTGCTCGTTCTTTCTCTCACCAAATCACTCTCTCTGCGGATCAAACCCGATCAATCGGGTCAAATTCGAGGGGTCGAGATAGTTTGATCGATGGCTTGGGTTCTAGTTTGTGCGATCAAGCATTTTGGAGTGATCAGGTTAGTCTGTATACAGTTGTCTGTTTGGTTTATGAGAAGATGATATACAAACAGAATTTTCTTACAAAAGTGAAGATTTGAAACTTGAAATTGGATCTATTGAATTTAAATACATAATAGAAACAACTCATTACTTATATCAGTTTGTTTTTAAATTTGTTTGTACAGCATTACTCCCCAAAAAAAAAAATGAACCTTGGAATTGCTATTGGATTCAAAATTTTCATTTTCAAGCTAAATTCAAGAAAAAAAAATGAATGCCTATTGGAATGAATTAGCCATTAATTTTCAATAGCAATTTCAGTAGAAGAAATGAAAAAAGGGCTATTGGATTCAAAATTTTCATTTTTCAGATTACATCAGTTTGTTTAGTAAGTTCGTCTATTGATTTAGAAATTAGCTTAGGGTTTTGCATATTGTCTTCAACTTATTCTACTATTTATAAATAAGTTCATTGGTTTTGAAATCAAATTACTTTAAAAGAAAGAATTTTAAAAGAAAAATCACAAAGGAAATGAGCAAAACTTAATGTGGTTGAAAAAATAATCTGATAGAATTAATTCATATATATTGTCTGGTGATTGCAGCAGGCAAGCCATGGAAAAATATCGAAGGAGCTGGTTAATCGGCTAATGAGTATTCTTGGTCACATGATGCAGTTGAGGACATTAAAGGTATCTCTTTTGAATGAGAATAATTTATTAATAATTGTTGCTTCATTTTCTTGTTGATGTTAACTCGCTCCCAAGGTTAGTTTATTTAGCTGGGTGAAGGCTTGGGTAGTGATCATGATAGTTAGCATGAAGAAAATAGGGAGTTTCTTTGAAAATCTGTTAGCATGGTTCGGAAAAATGTCGTGAATAATTGCTGGGAACAACTTAAAAATGAACTTGATTTCTTTTTGATGATTGATAAAATTTTATTAAGAAAGAGAAGATAACAAATGGAGAAGTATGGACAAGATATGTAGAATGGAGGAAAACATAACTATTGTTTGATAACTGAAGAATTCCAAGAAAGATTAATCTTCTTCAAGTGATGCAGAATGGAGGAAAAACAGAACTATGGTTTTTTAACAGGAGAATTCCAAGAAAGATTAATCTTTTTTAACAACGGCATTGATGATAATAAATTTCTCAACTCAAAAATAAGAAGCTTTTTTTTTTTTTTTTGTATATAGAAAAATAAAATTCCTTGTTGGAGATTCACCTCTCCTTTGTGAACAACAAAAAATTGTTTTTGGTGCTAAATACCAAAGTCTTTTCTTATCCCAAACTCCAACCCGACAAACATTACACAAACAAATTGAAAACTCAATTTATGCTATGCTTAAACCCAAAAGGAGAAAATAGAGATCAAATTTGATCTTGCAAGGAAAAAGGTGGTTTGTCAAGTCTACCTTCATGCCCTTTAAACATCTTGGGATAAACCATGTTTAACTTATTTAGCGAAAATGTTGAATTTTTTATTCCTTGTCACTATCCCACTGAAAAAAGCAAGCACTTAGTTTTTATCATGGGAACACATCAAACATGCACTTTTTTTCCATGGGTGTGTGAAGCCCACATTCTGCGAGTAACCAACAAAATGAAGATAAGGTTTTATAATGTCTGTTTGTAACTGTTAGAAGTTTATATATTTTATGCAGAACTTTTCTATCAAACACATTATTGTGGATAGTTCATGACATGATTTATGGGCTTGCTATTTAGACTCGCCATGGATATAAATTTATAATGATGGAGTTGGAGCAATATCTTAATACCTGGTTAAGGTAACGTACTATTTAAGCAATTTTATGTTTGGTTCAGAAATTTTCTAAATTGAGTCATTTGGTTAGAGGATTGTCGTCTAAGTGGTGTCACAAATATAATTGCACCAAGCAGAACCATAGTTGCATGGATTGTGATTCACAGGCATATATATGTTCTCTGGGCAGTTGATGTTTATTACATGCATGTCTCTGTTAAGTCTTTTCCACCCCAGAAATGGAAGTTTTTGAGTTATTTCTCTTCCTTCTTTTTTAGTTTAGTGACAGTTCATCAAAACAATTGTCAAAAATTGCTAGATCGAGCACATGACGTGCATAATTTTAAGTCCAAGACTAGGTTGTATCTTCTGCAACATTTATACTACTAAACCTCCTCCTTTTAGTGATTTCGTGATTGAAAAGAGTGTTCATATTATGGGAAGTTTCCCTTTCAACATGTGACTACATCTGACTTATATACAGGTAAACATCGACTTAAGGACTTTCATATGACAACATCTGACGTGAAGAACAGGTAAACACCGACTTAAAAGACTTCGACTGTCTTCTGTCTTCTGTTTCCTATGTGTTGAACAGATATTAGTTCTTTTTCCAGTAGCTAGGAAATGCCTCCCAAGGCTGGTTTAGGAGTGAATGAGCTAAGCTATCTTATTCAGATTCTAATAGTTTTTGTGACATTTTGGCGGATGTTCATGATTATGCACATCCACTGATCATTCTCATCGTCCATGGCTTTACTATTGATTTGCATTCTTTTAATGTTGGGACATAGGTTTTAAGTTGAGATATCTATCAAATGTGGTTATACTGTCATTATACTAGCTGTCAGTATACTGTCATTATGTTGGGACATAGGTTTTAAGTTTAGATATCTATCAAATGCCACCAAGGGTGGCTGTCATTATACTGGCTGGCTAAAATCATTTGATAAATCTAGCAGAACTCCTGAGTTTATTGTCTTGTTACATGACTAGGTGACCAAGAATTTGAAAGATATTCAAGGACCTGCCTTAGCTATTGTTCTTGAACGACTGAAGCACTCTGGGGCTTTTCAAGGTATTTTGTAGTGAAGTTTGTTGAGGTTTTATTATCTTTGTTCGGTAGTGCTGTTTTATAGTGACATAATTTTTCTTTGTTCCCAGAAACATTTGAAGTGGCTAAAACAATATCGATGGGGCCATCATTGAAAAGTGGATCAAAAGTTGGGAAAAGTGGATCAAAAGTTCACGAACCAAACGAGCACCCTCCCCAACATATTTCTTAACAAGTTCACGAAGCTAAATTGTACAATACTACTTGGCAGTATAAACATTTTTGGGAGGATTAAATGATTTTTGGATGGATGTGTATCGATAACAAATATTAGTAGTTTTATTTGTTGATAGCTGCGCATGGATAACAAATAGTTATGTTTCAAATTGTTATGCTAGATTGATGTGACTTGTGAATGAAAACTTAGAATAGTTGTATTGTGTCGAATGTTAATGATTCAGTTAATTTGAATGATGCTTTAAAATTATAGGTTTATTATGGATTGAATATTTTATTAGGAATTACAAGTGTATTGTTTTCCTGCTTTGGCGACCAATTTATTAGTCGTGACATCCAAAATAATTTTTTTTTGAAAAAAATGACAATTGCCGACCAAGAGTTTTGGTCACAAAAAATACATCTATTGCCGACCAAACAGCTCTTGGTCGTGGAAACTCACTTTTGCCGACCAAGAGTTTTGGTCGCGAAAAGTAATAAATGGCAACCAAATTTTTTGGTCGTGGAATGTCACAATTGGCGACCAAACTTTTTGGTCGTTGAATGTGATAATTGCCGACCAAATTTTTTGGTCGCGAAATGTGTTAATTGGCGACTAAGATATTTGGTCGAGAAAATGTCACTTTTCACGACCAAAGTGTTTTAGCGACAAAATGAATTAGTCGCGGTAATTAAATATTTAGCGACCAAAAATTTAGTTGGCAAATCCAACTTTTGCCGACCAACACCAATTTTGGTAGCGAATTACTTTTGCCGACCCTCAATTGGTGACCAAAATAGCGACCAAAAAAATTGGTCACGGATAACTTTTGCTGACCAAAAATAGACTTTTAGCGACCAATTTTTTTGTTGCCAAAAGTGTTAATTCTTGTAGTGTTAGCCACACTAATCTGTTTGAGTTTTTTTATTTCCAAGGCTACAATTGTAGTAGGGGATGGAAGCCAAATCAACTTCTAGGTTGTGGGATCTCCTCCAAGAAGGGGTACTTTCAGAGCGTCTAGCAGTTCAAACCCCTGATATGGTTTCATTAGTGTGCAATGTGAAACAAAATGAGAGTCCAAATCTAGCAAATCCATAAAACCCGCTAGTCACAAGAAATGTCAAAAATGGACTACATCACTAGACTCAGAAGCACTATCTAATCTTTTCAGAAAACTAGGAAACTCACGACTCATGCCAATGGCCACTATCCATCGTAACTAAAATGTCTCGGCTCAAGAACTTAGGTATGAGGAGTGAAGGTTATGAATTAAGAACCCCGGCTCACCCGATTAAAAATCGGCATCTACTAATTCACAATATGAAGTTCATTACCAATATATGATTAGTTCCGATTATCAATGCTAAAATTACTATGTGAAGCAAATAAATATAGACTAAATCACTTATTTTGGAATACTTTTATCTCCGCATTTTTAGAAAAAAGTTTGAAAATGTGCAACTCCAAGGAAAAGATGAATTCACATGCATAGAAATCAAGACTCCAACTTAAGTAAAATAACCTCCACCCACCGGCAATCAAACAGATATCTCAAGTAAGCAATTAGTCATATGATAGAATGACAGACATAATAACAAAAACAAGCACAAATGAGATGCAACGATAAAAGAACTCATCCGCACCAAGCCAAGCATAAAGGGTTAAAAAACATGCATGATCCTAGGTACAAAGAAACTAATGCAATACATATACCAAAATGCAACTAAAGACTTGGCTACTAGCATATGATATATGAACCGTCTCAAAACATAGGATTGCGCACATAATCACATAAGAGATAAAGAGAGCATTAAATATAATGAGTCAGGTCTTATGCATGAAAAATGGATGTAAAGCATGAAAAATGATGAACAAAGAAAATATGATGCCAAAATATGAAAAGCTCCAAATAAAAGGGATAGATGAAGGAATAGAAAAAAGAAACCGATATACATACATCTACACTAAAAAAAGTAGAACGAAAAGAATAATGGAAGCTAAATGTAATAATCAAAGCTAAATGTACTTTGTTGATGCACTTAATTGTTCCAAACAAGATCTTCCTTTCAAGTTTCTAGGCGCCTGCCTCTTAGTGCAAGTCCTAGATTAAAATCTACTTGGGAGCCCGGGAGCCCTATAGTTAAGTTCAAATTGAGGCTTGCAACACGGAAGAGAAGACATTTATCATTTGGGGGTAGACTAACACTTGCTAAATTTGTGTTGTCAAGTTTACCAGTGTATTATAGTGTATTATTTGTCTTTATTTAAGATGTCTGTAAGTGTGGTTAAAGAACTTGAAATAATCCAAGCTAATTTTTTGTGGGGAGGATCTAACTTGAAGAGAGAAATCCACATGGTAAAGTGGAGTGATGCTTCAAGAGGAAGGAATGCAATGGGGGCCTAGGAATTAGAAGATTAAGTGATGTGAATTTCTGTCTTCTTGTCAAATGGTGGTGGAGATTTAGGAGTGTTAATAGGGTTTTATGAAAGGATATTTTGTTAATAGTGATTTCTCCTTTTGAAGGAAACTGTTTTCTCGGGAGGTGGAAGATTGTTTTCAGCTCATTCATATACTTCAATCCAGCCCTGCACTGAGTGAAGTAGAGGATGACAGACTGGTTTGGAGAGCTAAAGCATCCGGCCTATTCACTGTTAAATCAGTTTATGATTGGCTCAATTTGAATCTTGGTCCATTGCCTACTGTGCCTCGGTCGATTTGGAAGAATATTGCTCCTCCAAAGATGCAATTCACATGTTGGTTGGCTTGGAAGGGCAGACTGAAAACATTAGTGTTTCTACAAAACATAGGTGTTCTTAATCCTAGTGTTGGCCCTTTATGCATCTTCTATAACTCCAATGATGAAGTGAACCATGTGGGGTATTCAATGTGTTGTTCCACAATCTGTGAGTCACTTCCTGGAATGTTGGGATGGATTCAAGTTTAAAACGTTGGATAAGAGCATTTTTTTTTCTGAGGGGGGGAGGGGGGGTGGCGGCGCAATACCATATCAAAGGGTTATGTATAATGCCCCACTACCTGCTGGCCCAATTAACTTGTGGGTAACATGACCCTAAAGCTCAAGTCCAAGTTACTTAGTAGCAAGTTAGTGGTGCTATCTATGCCTAAGATCTCCCATGCAAACTTTCGATGTGGGATGGGCTGAGTTATTCAGTTTTTGATAACTTTCCATGGACTCTTGAGGAATGGCTTCAAATTAACCAATCTGAAATTCTGGAGACTACAGTGCTGCCAGGTCCAAATATCCAATGCACTCAGTGGCGTTTGACTCAAGAAATTAGAGCAATTATTGGGTTTGTGTCATGTGTATCCTCTTCCTCTTCTTCTTCTCTTCATGAGCTCTTAACATCATTCTAATTCGTGAAGTTACTTTTTAATATTTCTTGATGCATGGGTATTTTAAAGAGTTTCAAAAGCATATATGAGCAGTTTTATGTCTGTGGCCAATTAAATACTGAGAATATTATGCTAAGTGAAGGCTTGGACGTGAAACTCACTGATGTTAAATTAGTTCGTGGTAATGAGGCATCATTCAAAGATGATTTTTCTAAATTGAAGGAAATTATCGAGAAAATCATCCACAATGTGGCAGGCAACGGAAATGTACCAAAAGATGTATTGCATTTTATGAGTTTCCTTGGTAAACCAATGGATAGGTATGGTTTGCTTTCTTGTTTATATACTTTTTATTTTCAAAGTTTCTCATTAAGATAAAAGGTTGGCATGTACAAACTATATGCATATAGTGTATTCCTAGAATATGCTAGCTAAAGCTAATCGTGACATAGGGCAAACAGGAGAAATGTTTTTCATTAGGATGGTTACTTTTAGGTTTTCTGGTGACAGGTTAAGAATATTTAGTTTCTTAAAGCTGTAACAAAGGGTTACGTTCTAGGTTCACATTTAACCAAGAAAAAATAACAGAGGCTCAAGCATGTAACTATATAGTTTATTCTGCTCTGCTTGAAGACGTTGTTAGGCTTGAGGGTGAATCTAGTCAAGATCGAGCATATTCCAGCAGGTGATATGGGGCTCAACTCCCGATAGAGAACTTTCTTTTATTATTATGCTAGTTGGGGTCTCTTCCATTCTCATATTGGGACTCAGTAGGAAAGAGATGAGAAGAGGTTGGTTAGATAGAAAAGCTAGTAATTGTTATTTTTTTGGGGGGTAAATTACAAATACACATCCTGAGGTTTGCTTAAAATACAAAATGCCTCCCATGGTTCTGGAAATTACATCTTGCTCCCTCAAATTTCTAATTTCTTAACATATGACTCTTTTTATTAATAAATAATCAAGTTAATTAAGAGTTTTTAATGGTATGATAAATTTATTTCAATTGAAGTGATGGGAGATGAGCAATCAGGATCTAAATAGTATAAGTCGTCCTTTTCAAGCCCTGAACCAATCACCTTCTTGGTCCTGAGGTCCTGCAAGACACAAGAGGTAGGAGAAAAGGTTATGGAACAATGTAAAACCTTGGTCAATTGACTAATGGAGAGCAAATTAAAAGGAAAATTAGGAACATAAAAACTAGAGGGTAGAGAAAAAGAGAAGGTAGAATGAAGACTACCCTTCCCACTAAAAGGTTGGGAAGACCCATCCGCAAGAACAATATAATGTGTAACACAAGGTGCAGAGTAGTGAAAAAAGAGGGATTACCAGACATGAGAATTAGCACCAAAATCTAAGAGCCATGGTTAGGGAGACTTGGCCAGACATGTAATATTACCTGAACTAGCCAAGGTAGCAGTAGAGAATGAGGGCAAAGCATCACGATGGGAATGGACAAGCTCTGTAAGCTAGCTAATATAAGTAGAAAATGCATCACGTGAATCAAACGAAGGAGCTTGATGAGAAGAAGAAACCTCATCCACAACATGATTTACATAATCGTCCTTACCATACTTTTTCTAGCACTAAGGTTCAGTATAGCTAGTGGAACCACAATGATTACACTTCCTATCACCACTAGAGGTGAAACCACCACCACGAGAACTACCCTCATGAGGAGCACTGTAATGACCACGAGAAATAGATTTCCATGAGAATTATGAGAGCCATGGTTACCAGATCCACCACGGAAATCACCACGAGGAGGACCACGACCACCACTTGTAGAAATTAAAGTAGAAGCAAAAGCTATGGGAGTAGTGAGATAGGAGGTCAAGGAGCCTTGGTCGAGGGAGGAACGTATAAGCAAGAGTAGGCATTAGCAGCGGTAGGCAAAGTCTCACTAGGAAGTATTTGATCCTTAAAACCCCACAAATCAGAATCCAATCTAGAAAGTAATGATGCAATCATAAACTCCTCCCAATAACACTTCTATTGTGCTGCATCAATAGTAAAAGGGCGATGTTGCAAGAGTTGATCTAACAAATTCTTAAGGGTGCTGTAATATTCAGACAACGTACAACTAGACTGCTTAGTGGCAAATATCCTTTCATACAACTCATAAACACAGGAAACATTACTTTGATGAGAAAAAGACTCAGCAAGAGTCTCAAATATGCTTCGAGTTTTTTTTTTGGTTGTTATGTAGGGTATCGTGGGCTAGCTTTCACGCACTACACTAAGTTGTTATAGCATGAACAAGCCTTCGAAACAGATTTCCTTGCGATCTGTGGCCTCAAGGGTTTTTATGTTGGTTGGGGGAATTGACCTTGAGACCTAGAGAGAGTAGACCCTTAAGCCCTAGGCCTCAAGCCACTAGGCCAACCCTTTGAGGTTTGCTTAGACGTCTTACAAAACTCAATGGTAGTGGCAATATGTGGTTCCAAACTATGCCAGAGCCATCCCATCACAACTAAATCCTTACTTAACCAATCATTATAAGCTTTGTTGACAGTAGAAGGATGAAGATTTAAGAGAAATTTTAGTTTTTTTTTTTTGGCTACAGAGAGACACTTTCACAGCATGAGCCTAAGCCAGATAATTGAGACCATTCAATTTCTTCGTAATTATTGATGCAGCCATAAGAAACAAAACATAGAAATTGAAGCAAGAAAGAAAGAAAAAAAAAACAACAACAACAACTAGCCACAACAATGAACAGTAACAGCCACCAATAGGGAACTTCAAACAAAATACTAAAAGAACCACAAAAACTCAAAACAAATTCAAGAAATGACTCTTGGGGTCCAGTCAGCACCGATAGGGCTTGGTAGAGTCAAGAAATCAAATGGGTGAACCACTTACAACAGAACTGAAGTAGCAAAAGGACTAAAAAGCACTTCAGAGCCACAAATCATCAAACATATCTCATAAAAGGACTCTAATAGCCTAGTTGGCACCTATAGATGCCATTAAAATGAAGAAAAATACAGGTAAACCTGCTAGAACCAAAAATAAATAAATAAATAAAAAATAAAAAATTATAAACTTGAAAATTCTTCAAAATTTCAAAGCCGACATCAAATAGCCCCAAAAATTCCACAAAAATCACCAAAATTACTAGGAGGGTGAGACGAACAAATCACGTGTTCACCTGTTCATGACATCCGTACGGATGCTAATGTCACGCTGATATCATCATGCATAAAATGATGTCAACACATCTAGGTCACTGTCTGAAAATTTTCAGACTTGAACGAGACATGTTATTGTGAGATCGAAGTGCTATGATACCAAGTCAAAATGTAAAGATCAAGAAATTAGGGTTAGGGTTGGGGTTGGAGAGGATAGAGAGAAGAGAAGAGGAGAAGAGAGAATATAGACAATAGGTTATTGGGTCATAATGAAAAAGCTCTCACCTAACACATTTATATTAAAACATTAATGTCACTATGACAATGATACCCTCAATATAAAAGCATAACAAGTCTAATAGTTTTAAATTTTGAAAGAAGATATTTGGGGGAGTTTGCTGAGAAGATGGAAAGGAAGGCAAGGTGTGACAGATTTGTTGAAAGGCCGGACATAAACATAGGATTGGAGCTAAGAACACGCTTGATGAGTAAAGTTATGAAATATATTTACTACACCAAACTTGGATGGGGTATTAAATTTTATCAAGCATATCAACAAAGTTGATTTTTCAACCTTTCCGACAATAAGAGGAAGACCTAAGTATTTTTCATTGCGGGTCTAAGGGATGCAAGCTTAAAGCCTATGCTAATTTGTTAGTATTTAATTTATTTTAGGGAAAGTTGAGGGTTATTGTAATGTTTTACCATATTCTTATTTGTTTTAAGTGTTTCATAAAGCCTCTAAATAGGTTATGCTGCTGTAATATGAGATCAACTGCAAATATGAATAAATTTTGAAGTGGTAAAAATTCTTCTTCACTCTTATTGCCTATTTTTTGTTTTTTTCCCTTCTCACTTTTCTCTTCTCTCATATCTTCTATTCTCTCCCTTCTCTTATCTTCTATTCTCTCCCTTCTTTTGTCTCCTTTTTGACAATCTTCTCTGTGCTCTCTCCTCTCTCTTATGTTTTACACGATGAAATTATAAGTCATCTCTATAGCATAACATTTGAAAGATAGTGTCTACTGTGTCTTTATGCTTACAGGAGCTTTCATTATGATGTTTTCACAAAACTTCAACCCCATACCTTCTCACCATGATGTTGGACTGGGTTTTGGCTTTTGTCTTGTTGTGAAAGAATATTATTGATGGCTATACTTGCATTGTGGTTTGTTCTGATTCCAACTTGGTGTAGCCTCAGTAGAGAATCCAGCATTTATTATTATTGGTGATAAAATATTTGGATCCAGGACAAAAGTTTGCATATTTTGATTTAGTTTAGTAAGAATATCTGCAACTTCTTTCAAATTAATGGCGAAGTCAATGAACTATGGGACTCAACCCTACAAGGACAGAATAAAAACAAAACAAAATATTTGAATTTGAATCTGTATATTTCAAAATTTTCCTTCAACCCTCAGTGACAAAACATCTTTCTAGGTTCTTTAGTTTACTTGGTTCTGAAGGAAATTACCTGGTCCCAAAGTAGTAACTCAACTGATCAATTATAAATAAGTATTGCCCAATTAATAGCCAAAAATATAGAGAGAGATTTTAAAAGAGAGAGAGCAGAGAGAAAGAGTAAGAGAAAGAGCTATTGCTTTGCTCTGTTTTGCTGTCATACAATTGAAGAGCTCTTGCCTTTATATAGGCAAGATTGCCAACCCTTTCTACCAATGAGGATGAACCAGGCACATACATTAGTTGCATGTACTGACACAGTTCTGAAGCAACAAGTTGAGCAAGTTGTGCAACTTACAAACTTATATTACAAATTGACCCAAAATAAAACAGGTATTACAAATTAATTATTTCATTTTAACAACTAGTTCTAAATTGTTTCTTATTTAGTGAGTGAATTTGAATCATGGTGATAAAGCCAAATCAAACTGAATTATTAGATTGATGAGTTTTGGGACCTTTGGGTTGGCTTGATGTTCATCTTCGATTGACTATATATATATATATTTATTTATTTATTTGCACTAAAAAAATGGGCTTCTAAAGCTTACGACACTGAATATTCGTGCTTGTAAAGCTTATGACACTGAATATTCGTAGCGCAATTTTGGGTCCTGAATCTGTGAGCAATTTAAACTGCTCATGTGAAAACCCAGTTTACATTGCCATGGTAGTTAGTTTTGGAGGCACTCCTCAATGAGTAGTAATGAGGAGATGCTTGACCCTCAGCTAACTGACATTTTTCTTTCACTCTTATAGTAAAATTTCTTTATAACTAATAATCCTACAAAATTCTAAATGCCTCCTAAATGTTGTACATTTAAGAACTATTCCAAGCTATTTATAATCGAAGCATGATGGCTTGAGTCTTGGGTTGGTTTGGTTAAAGTGAGCCACTGACCAAGAAGCAAACCACGCTTTTTCATTATTTTGGCTTGTCACTGAAGCATAAATGCATTTCAAGATGTTTAAAACACACTTCAGTTGTAATATGTTGAACATATCTCACACCAATCTTACCTGGTAATAGTTAGGATGTTTATATTCATTTCAATTGGCTTTTGCTTTATTCTACTAATTGCTTTAGTGGTATTTCTCAGCGAAGTTCAAATTAGTTATTGGTTGTTCCTTTTTTCTTGCCCCATTGTCTTTTTGTTTTTGTTTTTACGAAGACAGAAATCTTATTTATTTTATTTTTTGCAGTGTTTTCCGGAAGATGTTATACAACCATCCTTGTACCTGGAGTGCATATGATGTCATCAAGAATGTATCCCTATTTAGGATGGTTATCGAGTGCTCTACTGCTGTGTCCAAGAAAGTAACTTTTGCTTTGAGCCATATGCCAGGTGAAATTTGCATGAACTGGACATCAATGGTTCCAAAAAAATCAAGCATGGAGACTCTCAAAGATGATTGGATAAAAAATCAGAGTGATGAAGAAGGAGCCTTGGAGATTTTATATTTCATGAGAAATGCCTATCCACATTTTCATAAGAAGGTATGCACTGCAAATTTTGTTATCAAGTAAAAAGTTAAAACTGAAAAAGTCCAACTTTAACTACTACTTGTTTTTTACTTTTGCTTCTTTTGTTGCAGCTCGAGCCTAAAATTCAGAACTTGACTACAACTGAGGGTCAATTGTTTGCTTTATTTCCCAATTACTTGGCCGTTTTTGTAGAGCTCACACATGCAATCGATGAAATAGCAGGTACAAAATAAGTAAATAGATAAAATAAAATAAAATAATGAAAAAATAAACATGAATTTAGCGAACATTTCTTGTTTGTGCTGTTACAGATGTTTGTTTTGCTAAAAGAATCTGTCCAATTTGCAGAGATTTATACAAAATCTACATTTGAGTTCATTGATGCAAAAGACAAGAAGATGTAAGTTTTGTACATTTTAGTTTAACTATAGATCTCCATTAGCCATTTATTATATACTAAACTGATATCTCATATTTAATTTCCAATCAATGTCTTTTTATGATTTTTGTTAATTAGCTCTTAGTTGTTTCTTTCATGAAATTTCCTCCATCTAGATAATGAAATTCAGATTGATTAAGTTCTTGGTTTCATATGCATGCATAAAAATTATGATGTCAAATTTAAATGATTGATTCACAGTGAGTCAATAAAAAGTGGACATGATACTATTGCTTAATGTATCTCATGAATCGTTAGTGTTCTTTATACGAACTGATTGAAGACATTAGTGGTTATAAGTTGAAGTCAAACAATAATTTGAGTACTTGTTACACTACTGTTGGGTGTGTGTCTTGTATTGTTTGGGAGCCACATAGTCATTTGGATTAGATTGTATAGGGTTCTATAAATTGTATGGTATTAGAGTTCAGCTTTTGGAAGGGTGTTAGATAGCTTTATATACATTGTTGGGCCTATTTTCTAATAGCTTAGGCTTTCGGAAAATTTGATAACTTAACAGTTCTGGCCACCCTAGGTGCAATCATATACACTATACAGTTATACTCCACTGGGGAAGGATGGTACTAGCTTGGTGTGGTGATTTAGGACGGAAGAGTATCTCCAAGTCTCTAGTAAAACATGTTTGGACTGAAGCTCATATTTGACCTCCATAAGAGGCAATGTATCCCCTCAAAATCTGAATGTAAACTATCGTGTTTCATCTTGTTATAACAATAGTGTTTGTGTGTCTGTGCTTTTGTTCATGTGTTTTGATGACCACAAAAGGAAATAAATTATCCATTGTATGGATCATGTGATGAGAGAGAAGTTCAAATTTTTACTTGTCTATTGGTAATTAAAACATCATTTTGATTGTTTTTGGGGAGGGTGGGTTGGCCTAATGGTAATTCTAGCCATCAGCATCCTTGGTGGTCCAGATTTGAGTCTTAGAAAAGGGGATAAGCTTTGTACATCCTGCCCTCCTCGAATCCCACTCTAGCAGGAGCCTTATGCAGTGGTCCCCTTTTTATTTGATTTGGGCTTGCAACACTAATTCATTATGTTATATGATACACTGTCATTATTATGAGTAGGAAGTTTATTATTTTAAATCTAACATGATATTTAATAAATGCAAGTGATGTCATATTTGAGGGAAATGATTCTTCAACGTTACAAGCTTGCTTAGTTTGAGTTTTTTTAATGCTTGAGACTATGTATATGGAGAGCAGATAATTATATGTGTTATAAACGAATATAGGATTAAGTGAAGGATGAAGTTGACACAATACAAGTGACTAGATTGATGAATGTCTTGATAATTTAATGTCAAGAATGGTTGAGAGTTGGCCTTTTATTACACTAGAACCCGTTAGAGATCTTACCAAGGAATATGTGGGTGCCATTTACTAATATCTAGCTACTTTTTTTTTCTTTTTTTCTTTTTTTTGATAACTCAGGTATCCCCAATCCGCTAATTTTAAGGAAAGCTAGGACTAATCCTGAGAGTCCTGAAGATAACGACCGGGCAAACTTCCAGTGGCCCCAAGGGGTGACTCGAACTCGAGACCTGTGGATTTTATCCTCCAGACTTTACTAATATCTAGCTACTTGACTGTAGTTGAATATTTGAAACTGTCATTTTGCAATTTTGCTAGCACACATTGCATGTTTCTTATTGGTTAAAAATGTAAGTTTAGAGAGAGAACCAATATTGCATTAACTCTCATCATCGTATTTACAAACCCTAATCACATTAGGAAAGCTCTAAATTGAATTACAAACGGAAGATTCCAAAACTACAATCCGTTTGCAAACTCAAGATGTGAGCTCGGTAAACATTGAGAATTTGTCAAGTAAGAACCGAAATTGAGTGGAGGTATGAGTCTTTGTGAAGAAGTTTTGCAAGTTGTGAAGAGAAAGGAACAAGAAGCAAAGCAATAGTGCTTAACTGAAGATGCTGATGAATAATAGGCAATCAATCTCAATGTGCCTTTTGTGCTTATGAAAACAGAATTATGTGTACTCTGAATGACACTCATGATTATCAAAATAGAGAGGAGTAGGAGAATTATGTGCAATCTGAATGAAACTCATGGCTATCACAATAGAGAGGTGTAAGAGAAGAGAGACTCCCAAATTAGAAAGAAACCAATAAAGCCAAACAATCCCAGTGATATCATGAGTCATAGTACGATATTTGGCCTTAGTAGTTGATTGAGAAACAATATAACATTTTTGCTCTTTTAGTAAATAAAGGCATGTTTGATTGACATGATTAGAGTATGAGATTGAGATTATTAATCTGTAAGCCCAATAATCTTGTATTTGTTTTGAAATTTTATTTCATGATTATTAATCTAATGGATAATTAATCTAACAATTTTGTAGGATTATTAGTAATAGGGGTAGAGGTGGAATTATATATCGTGAGGTAGGAAATAAAATAAAAAAACTCTTTTACCCTTGATTAAAAATTAAAACACTTATTATTTTTATATTTTAGAAGGCTAAAAATAATTTTTAAAAATTTAAAAATATTTTTTTATTGAGTCTTTGTGACGAAGTTTGCAAGTTGTGAAGAGGAAGGAACAAGAGGCAAAGCAATAGTGCTTAACTGAAGATGCTGTTGAGTGATAGGCAATCAATCTCAATGTGCTTTTCGTGCTCATGAAAATAGAATTATGTGCAATCTGAATGACACTCATGACTATCAAAATAGAGAGGAGTAGGAGAATTACGTGCAATCTAAATGACACCCATGACTATCAAAATAGAGAGTACGAGAATTATGTGCAATCTGAATGATATTCATGGCTATCACAATTGAGAGGCATAGGAGAAGAGAGACTCCCAAATTAGAAAGAAACCAATAAAGTCAAACAATTCCAGTGATATCATGAACCATAGTATGATATTTGGTCTTAGTAGTTGACTGACAAACAATATAATGTTTTGGCTCTTTTAGGAAATAAGAGTATTAGAGAATATTGCCTAAATATTGTTCTATATATATATTCTATATTTCCTTAGTCAAGTTACTTGTTCACCACTTCATTGTAAGCCTATAAATATGCCTACTATTATAATAGCTAGATATGTATCTTAATACAATATTTATCTTTAACTAATTCTCTGCCTGAGTTTATTCTCCTGTCTTTCATCTCTCTATCACCTTCACATGCTGTTGGGTTGCATGTGCAAGTGAGTGTTATCACCTCTCTAAGCCACCCAAGCTTGGTTAATTTCCTTCAGAGGCCCCTCCACTCATAACCAATTGGTTTTGAGTTGGATGTTTTAAAATGGAATTAGAGTTCTAGGTTAAGATCATATGATTTTTCATCTTCTTAGAAGATAGTCTTCCCGCCACAGCCCTCTGTCGGACCTCGATTTTGTCAAATTGTTTTCTTATGTAATTATCTCTTTTTCCATATTCTACTTCAATATTCAGTGATCCATTAATTATTCACCCCAATTAACTGTTCTGTATAAACTGCTATGTCTACCAAGAACCCACAACTTCCACCGATGGCAATTTTAGCCACCAAACATTTCTTTTCAAACTTTGCAAAACCATACTCATGTAACATTTCTTTTCAAACTTTGCAAAACCATACTCATGTCTCTATTATTGTACTCTGCTCCGTGCAATATAGATGCACTCTCACCTAGATTTTTCCCTAGATCTATCTCAAGCGCTTCTATGTGCTCTCATTAGGATTGTGCTCCGGATCCATTTCAAGCGCTTTCATGCGCTCTCGTTTGAATTTCACCCAGGATCTCTCTTCTACCTCTGTCGGACTTTGCACCTTATATGCCTCAACCTATTAGACTCTGAACTACATGTACCTCAATCTCCTAGAGTCTGTGACCTCTCTGCCCCAGGCTCTTCCCAAATCTTGCACCTATGAACTCCTCGACTTCACACTGGATTGCACCTTGATACTGTATCATAATAAAATCAATCTTCATCACTCAAATTTCCAGTTTGCGTGAGGATGTTAGAGAATATTGGCAGAATATTTTATTTCTATATTTTCTCAATTTCCTTAGTTAAGTTACTTGTTCACCACTCTATTGTAAACTTATAAATAGGCCTCTTATTGTAATAACCACATATCTATCTTAATATAATCTTTTATTTTACCTTAATTCAACAAAGAGAATTACCAAGAAAAACACAAAAAACTCGTAATTAGAAGTGTCACCATCCCAATCAATATCATCATATGACTGATGTGTCAAAAAGGATGCAAGTGATATCAACAACCTCAAAAAGAGAGGACCACAGACGAAGTGTAAAACATGTAACAAAGCAACCCCATGCGTAGACCAAGGTGCAAAAACAAATTGACTAATCATTTACACAACATACACAATATTCGAACAACAGTAAGGCAAACCAAAAAACCAACTAACTTGCGACACAAAGGTAGGATCATCCAAGTAACACCATCAGAAGAAGAAAATTTGGCATGTAATGTAATGGAAATGTTAACAATGTTGGCATCAGTGAGTTGACCATGATGGATGATCTAATTAGCATACTTGAGGAGAAAAAGCAACTTTAGTACTGAAAAAATAATGTAGTGGACCTAAATCTTTCATCTCAAACTGATAAAAAAGATGTTTGACATCAGTAATAGCAGCACAGTCAGAACCAATAATGATTATATCATCGACATATAATAAGAAACAAACCAATACAACATGAGTATGACGAATAAATAGAGCAAACTCATGAACACTAGAGTGAAAACCAATCTGTGTCATAGTCAACTAAAAATACTCATGCTTGGCACAAAGACATTATTTGAGACCATACAAAGGATGACATAGACGAAAAACATAGCAAAGGGGAGAAGAAAGTCCTGGAGGAGAACGCAGATAAACTTCCTGTTTAAGATAACCATTGAGGAAGGCATTCATAACATCTAACTATGAAAGAGACCATTGATGTATA